TATTGAGGAAGGATACTTTGTGAGCATAAATTACTCTGCGTGATGCACCTCGACTCGTGAATTTTAAACTGCAAAATAAATAGCGATAGCATGTACTGTACAGTAAATATTTCTGCGAAGTTTTCAAGCATTCAAAATAAATCACGTTAAAAAGAATGGGTATCTTACCCCAATAATTTAATTTTTCCAAGTCATCTTATTAAGTTATATAAGAAAGTAAATTATCCTTTTTCTATATAAGAAAGTAAATTATCCTTTTTCTATATAAGAAAGTAAGTAAATTATCCTTTTTCTATATAAGATAACACCTATTAGTCATGTGCGAAATCTGTTTCGCGAACTATTAAGCTTCCAACCGTACGTACTTCAACAATCCTGAAAGCCAAAAAGTCCATATTCTCTCATTTAGTTAATAAGACGTGTGTTGAGCTTCTATTCCGATTCTTTAGTCTGACTCTTTTCGCATCACTCCGGAAATAATGAAAAATTTCCTGAAATCACTCGCGCGTATCTAAGGGACTTTGAAAAAAGAAGCGGCAAGAACTCCCCCGTGTAATATTCCAGCAAGTAAACGTGACATTTCTGAACCTCATCGCGTTTAATTAGGTAAAATTCTTGAAACATCTTAAAGTATGATTTACACTTTCATGGTATGAAAACCCAGTTGTCGGCAATTCATAATTTCTTTGATGGTCGATTATTTAACTATCGTGAATCATTTAATTTAATCTTCATATATACAAGATTCTTGAAAATTATAATAAAGATTAATCTCGATACCAAGTGCGGAGTGTTTTACAAGATGTATAGCAAAGAAACTGGGGGGGGGGTTTGATTAGCGATTTTTAATAACTACAGTATCTCTGTAAAATTTTTATGGAAGCATCTTCAATCCATTTGAATTCACACAGTAATTAAATTGCTCAGTCGACTTAAAGATTTCAGAATCTTCTTAAATCACAAAAGGTCAATTTCATTCACACTTTGGAGTTAGGTATTGTTTTGTGAATAATGATCTCGTCCAAGTAATAAATCAATGCAAGAACCTGGTAATACTGAAGTTTGTGCCGTACTTATCTAAATTTTTAGGGAAATTATTTCCAAGAGCCTATGGATTGATTGATTGATGACATGAGTTTTATTGTTGCATTTAGTTATTCTTCATTGCATATGTATAAGTTTCACTTTCAAAAGATGAATATAACAAGGAAAGCGCACCAGATTATGCGTTTAACACAATCAGCATATTTTATGATTTCCACGTTTTTTCACTCATTTTATTATTACTTAAAGCTAATATAAGCAGTTAGTTTTGTGAATAAAAACTCTTGTATGCAATATACAGTATATTGTAAGCAGTTGAGTTACTTTAACTTAAATTTTACAGCATATTGAAAAATCGCATTTTCACGAGATACAATGATTCTTTCCTAAAATTATACCACTTTAAATTAAATTTACTATAAAGTTTATTTAAATAAGTTCACGAAATAAAACAATGTGATAAATGTTGGATATAATTAATAAACTTCTATTATTCCCAAATTCCATTCAGTCTAATCGTGTGTTACAAAAGAACGCGAAAAAAGGGTTTCGCAAAATTCGTCAAGTCAAATTAATGTCAATTAACTGGCGGGTCTAACGAACATAATGATCATACATTAGCCGTGCCACGGTATTAATTTAGATTATACGCAAAGAATTTTTGATGCTGTATACTGAAATCTTACCGAATTCGTTATTGTCTGCAATAACGCCTAGAGTTTTTTGTTTTTTAAATTTAAAATCTTCTAATGAATTCAAATAGTCGACAATTTATTAAAGTGATAAATTTATTATTAAAAGAGTATCCATATTTTCTTTACACACAATGACTTACCAATATATTCTTCCGCCTTCAATAATTGTGACAACTCATCTCGGTCTTGTTTCTTAGAACGTTTATTAGACTCATCCATGCGCGACGAAAGTTCGTTACTACATTTAAAACTTTGATTGAAATTAATAAGTTATTACGACATTGTATTATAAGATACTGACTTGGCCATTGTGACATCAAGATTATGACCTAAGATTTTTTTTTTTTTTTTTAAACGATACGCAATATTATAAAAAGCATAATTCTTATTGATAATAAACATATTTTTTTGTATACCTGTTAATTGACTAATGTTATATGAGCTTGTGAGTGACACGATTATCGATATCGTTGGAGTTAGTAGACTGCTAGTGTAATTGGCATTTGGATGTTCTTTTCCAGGATCTTTTACGAAGGGAATTCCCAATTCGATCATTTGTTTGAGTTTTTCCTCGACTTTATCAATCATTTGTCTATGTATCACTTTAAAATAACCACATTCCCAAAATCCAAATATATCAGAATTCAACTGTCGTTCTGTAGGATCCGGGTGCCAACATTTTTTCATTAAATTAGACCAGCACTCCGGTGTATCTTCTGTAATTGTGGGACGTAATCCATTACAAATATCAATCGCGAGATATACAGTATATCATGTGTCCTGCCATGAAAAGGTCGGTGTCCTGATGCCCGTTGATGCATTATCATGTCTAGGCTATATATGTCCGAAGCGTAAGAAAAAGGGTTTCCTTGGAATATTTCTGGTGCAATTTATGGGATAACTCCATGTACTGTATGTTTCCCTGTTCGGATATTTCTATCAATAATATACAGTATTACCGCCGTGTAAATCGTGATGAATATTTTTTTGATCATGAGGTAATATAAACAGTTAAATTTATCCATCCAGCTAATTCTATTAAAATTTTTAATTAGGTAACTATGTACAGTTCTTAACGTATTCCATAATAATAATATAGTTTTTGGATTCTGGATCTTGTGAAGCTCCAAAAAGTAGAATAATAGGAGCAGTTGTTACCAGATAGTCCTTACAATCATACAGTAAACTAAGTAAGGAAGACAATGGCAACCCATATTAATAATTTAATCAGATAAAATAATTTAATATAGTTTAGTTATAGAATGTTACCTCATTAAAAATTTTTCTAAAATCAATTCCACTCGAATTATCTAGAACCTTTAACACAACTGTTTGTTTAATTACCCTTTCTATATTTCCTTTTTTATTATCGCAAACTATTTTTTTTTTACTCCAAGTCACCTTGTATATTTTACTAAACCCGCCTTGACCTATTTGCTTAATAATTTTAAGGTTCTCAAAAGAAATCCAATATAATATATTTTTAACATTCTTATAAGTTCCTTCAATAAATAGGTCAATGTCTTTATTACCATTGTTATATTGTAGAAATTACAAAGTTTACACATATTAGGATTGTATTCTTTGTAATATTTGTATACTAGCAGTTGCCTGTAACATTTAAAAAAATAACGTTAGTTTTTATTTAGAATATGATTCAAATTCATAATTTTATTTTGAACAATTTTCGAGTGTCGAAATGTGGGTTCAAGGTATTTTATATTTATTATCTAAGTGAATGTACACACCCTAACATAAATTACCAGAAATTATCATGTGATAATAATAACAAAAAAAAAGAATGATTTTTTTAAAATTCAAATAAAGAATTTTTTTTTATTTAATAACAATAGATTTTTTTATAATATCAAAAAAAATGTATTCTATTTTTAACAAAAACAATCTTGAAGGTAAAAAACTAATATTTAATATGTTCATCTTTAACCTTAATAATATTTTAATATGCTTCAGAATACTTAAAATTAAATGACATAAAGTTTCTATAGAAATATTTTCCCACTCTTCTCATGCAATTCTAATTAAATCTTGCTTTAATTTAAGTAAAGATTTTTTTTTCTAATCTGACAATCAAGATAGTCCCACAAGTATTCAATTGGGTTTAAGTCTGAACTTTATGAAACCCAGTCTAAAACAAAAATACTATGTATTACCATCCATCAATTTGTATAAGAAGATACATGACATATCATCAAGTCTTGTTGAAATATCATATTTGAACTATTATAGATATATAGTATTAAATGATTTGTAAGAATATTAACATATACATTAGATTATATTTTTACTGTATCTATCACTATCAACAGTTCAATTCCATATTAATCAAAACAACTCCAGATTTAACAATAGGTTTAATACAATCTTTATTATAAGTCTCCTTTACCTTTCTACATACTTTTACTTGTTTATCAGATTTGAATAAAGTAAATCTTGATTCATCAGATCAAATAACTTCTTTCCATTCTTCATTACAATTATATTTGATTCAATACTATTTTAATTAAAAAATACATTGCTTATTGCTTAAAAAAGGTTTTTTTACATGTAGTACAATCTCTAAAACCAAGTTTATAAAGATATATGCAAATAGTTTTAGGATAAAATATTATATTAAGGCTTTGATTAAATTTTCTTATAATTTTTTCAAGAGACAAAAATCTGTTCTTAAAAACAATTCATTGTAGAAAATGTTATTTACATTTAGAAAGAGTTTTAAGTTAATCAAATCTTTTTTAGGATATAAAAAACTGTTCTTTTTATAACAATTAATAATATTATATATGGTTGCATAAGGAATATTTAATGCAACTGATATTTTTAAACTGTTTGAACCCATGAAATAAGCATCAATTATTTAATCACTTTTTTCAATTGATTCATTATCTTATATTTTTTTAATTAAAAAAAATCTACAAGAAAAATCAATTTTTATAAACAAATCATTAATTATATTTGTGTTAGAAAAAAGAAATAAATAATATTTACCTTTTTGATTAATTATATTTTTATTGTTGATTTCTAATAATTTATATTAGAAGTGTATACCTAATAGATTCTATAATAGTTTTCTATCATAATCTAATATAATTCAGTAATAAAATTCTTAATGGGAATTATATTATTATGTATATAAAACTTCTTTAAGGAAATAATACAAAAAGAATATTATATAACCACTCCAGGAACATAGTTTAAATATTTCCATTCATATATATATTTTGAAAGATATAGTCAATAGAACATTACTTTTTAAATTTCAGGATTCGATTATAATAAGTGAAGCCAATAATTTAAAATGATTAATGATACAAAAATTGAATTAAAAATATTAGAAACAAGTTTTATAGACAAATGAGTCTTGCATAAGTATTGACTCATAAAGAGATTTGATCATTAAACAATAAAGATGAATATTGTATTGTATTGAAGTAATAAGAATAGCTTTTTATATTAAAAAAATAAAATAATTATTTTAAAAATTTGGGAATTAATTAAAATTATGAATCAATATAAAAATAATATAAAATTTTTTATTATTGTTTTTTAAAAATCCAAAATTCAAAAAAATATATTAATATGATATACCAAATTTTTAAAATACTTTTTTTTTTTTATATACCTGTAGTCAGGCTAAATTGTCAATTTATTAATTAATTAAAAATATAAGTACATTTTCATTCAAACAACATAGTACATACTACAGCTAAACTATTATTCTAATCTAACTAACTTGTCATAAGTATAAAAGCCTCTAAGTTAGGCCTTGGAAATGATATTTTGCTCCACAGTATCTTTGGATAAAAATTTTCCTAGTTCACTATATTATTGTTAGCAGGTTGTCACTACTGTATGTCTTATTAAGCTACTAAAATACAAGAAACTATAAAAGAATAGATTGAAAAAGGAGAAAAAAAAATATCTAAAAATATCTAAATAGACAAGACAACAAGAAAATGAAAAAGTAAAAATGACCTGTGGATTAATAGCACAATAGTAGTACTCCCAGACATAATTACAAGGTTTATAGTTCAATACCACTTAAGGACCAAAAAGTGAAATTATCCTTTTGATCAGGTTTACTGGTTATCTTGT